ATGGATGATGTCTTTCCCAAAGAACCTCAAAATTTCCTCAAAAATCTATCTAACACAGTCCCATTTAAACCCTAAATGGAATCTTTATCTTTGGGATTTATTTTCAAGTGCCCTCCAAAGAACGTCGGGAAAACTTAAGTCCGAGCAGAGTTAGGGAATTTCAATGAGCAACACGGTGACTTGCTTCCATCAAGAGATGATAACCGGAATTGTCTTTAAGATAAGCTGGTAGACCTTTCCCACAGCTTTCACCATAACCCCATTCACTAAAATTGTATGGTGGAACAGGAACAGTATCAAGCGCTGAAAGAACTACGGCGCAATCCCAATTTGTTAGTGCTAAAACCTGGCAAAGAGTTTGGCGTGGTTTTCATAAAAAGGAATGAATACGTCGCCGAAATGATGGAAATCCTGGATGGCGAGCACAAGTTCTGACCAGACCTCGCCCGGGATGTTGTACAATTGATAGAGAAGCATATTACACGTGAGTTACAAATTCTTATTCTTATTATTCTTATTATGGTTTCACCACTGAGCCACAAATGAAAAACTAAAACCTATAGTTCATCGTACACGAATTATCTACGGGTTACCAAAGACACATAAATCATCTATTCCTTTACGGCCCATATTATCTATGCATGACTCGCCCTATCATAAACTAGCCCAATGAAGTCCCTTAGTCGGCACACAAACGCCTTAGAAATCACACTACGTGACTCATTTTAGCTTTGTGATACGTTGTCCAATTTGAATTTGTCTGGTAAAATGTGTTCATTTTGATGTCACGTCATTATTTATAAATGCCCCCTTACATGAAACTATAGACTTCACCTGCGAATTCATCACTCGAGAGAACATCAACCTTAGCATACCTTTGTATAACCTTAATTATATTCGTCTGTAAACACTACTTCACAATGGAACGTCATACTTTATGTATTCCATGTAACTTATTTCCCAGCCAATACAATGATGTCTGAATCGTTGTCCAGTTTGCTTTGCGTCTCGTCGTCTGGAATTCGTTCGGGGATTTTTAAATAATATGGTTATCAGAATCACGAAGTGTAAACCTGTGTCGGGAAAATAACTGTCTGTCCAATTTGTTTAGGATAGCACCTAAATGTTATCAGCTCTTCACCAACATTCCACGAAAATCCGTTGGTTTCGATTATTTTCCATGGTCCGATAAGAATACGTACACATATATCAGCAACAAATTAAGCGAAACCGGAGTTTCCTTGGAAGCTTTTACATTTGAATAACTGAACAAACACGTTCAGTAGATAGGGTAACCGAGTCTCTGCGCGGTTTGCTCTGTGCCACCAAAAACTGCTCTCACTGAACAACTTTACCGGACGTACCTATAACTGATGTTGATAGCAAAAGAAATCTGTGATTATGTACTACCAATCACAATGTTAGTTCTTCTCTCTCAAAGAGTCAGTAAGGACAGTGGGAAGACAGAAAAGGGTCTTGAGACGCGGGTAAAGGAACCTGTACCTAAATGCTTATGTCAGTTGATGGTGTACACAAATGATGCAAGCACGCTCAAAACGGTTAGATATGCGATAGCGTTCTTGATTACGCTTCATGTGTTCTGTCATAAAATGAATGTCTCCCAATAATGTTTAGCTGCGGTCACCTGAGGACTCTCAAATTTACCTCAGGTGAAGAACCACAGGTAAAGAATAAACTGAGTGTTCCTCGGAAGCTTTTCATGCATGTCTTTCGTCCGGTATGAGCAGGCGGTTTGAGAAAACTAAATAAATAATACCGACTGCATAATTTCGTCATTTATGAAATTTAAAAATAAACAAACAAGAAAGGTGCCATTTTTCCTTCATATGCATCAAACTACAACTTTCCCATAAAGCTTTAGCCAAAACCCGCAGTCCTTTAGCCTAGACAGTTATAATTATGTCAAATGCCGCAGTGTTGATAAACCGAAGATAGTAATGGAGGTGTATTTCTGAGAACGGTGTTTATTTACCTTGGCAAACTAATGTATCCATTTCTCGTGAAAATATTTCAATTTAAGTTGAGATACGGAACCACAAGCAGTTATGTTTTTGTGGTAACATTTTTCGATTTGTTTCACGGCTTTTGAATGCAAAGCAATGTACCGTATGTGTTACAATTGAGACATTTACTCATAGGATTATCGAATGTTACGCAGAAACACTGAAGCTGTACGAGATGTGTCAAATGGTTTACGATACGGTACATCGTATCAATTTTAAGTTTTTACAACCATTAACCATGCACTTTTGTGAGCCGGTTTTGGTTGCTGTCTTTTGGCTGCCTATTTGGATAAAAGAGCAGAATGAAGATTGGAATGTTAAAAGCAAATTCAAGCGAAAGATGGAGAATTAATATAGGGTGGTGTTAGAAGAATACTGAGTGGATGTATTAGCTCCACCGTTTGCGACATACAGCCACATCATTCAGTGTCTCTAACCATCGGTAGCCATCATCTCGGGGTCCCCAGCCAGGGAGTCTAACAGGGCCTATGTGACATAGTCTCCTGGTTGGGGTTTTCATACCCTCATGCACTCGACCCTTCAGGGACAGCCGGATTCCGCGATGGTGCCACAGATGTCTCAAGTTGGTAAATGCCAACCGAGCTTTTTTTATGCGCGCCGACACTTCATCTCTGATGCGTCCTGATTGCAAAACTTATCCATTTCCTCTACTACTTCCCCAGTCAGAGTGAGACTGGGTGCTGGACCAACCCAATCTTGGAGCGACATTTTCCACTTTGAAGGTGAAAAACGAATACCGAACATGGATACACTAGCACTCAAACTTTTCTTTTTTCCTTTTTCATTTTACTTCCTTTTATTGAATATACAAAGATACTACAATTTTTCAGGAAGGGGGAAGCGATCAATCAGAGGGCTGCCATTCAACACACAAAGGGGAAATTCAGGCGGTGGTGGTGGGGTTCGATCACACATCCCCGGAGTGATAATTTGATGACGTTACCACTGGTCCACCACCGCCCAACTATCCAAACTATCCATAAAAGCTTCCAACTCCCCTGGATTTTCACTTAGTAGCACAATGTTATCTGCATACTGTAGATCAGACAGTCTGTAACCTGGGAGTAAATCGATACCGCTATTCTTGCACGAGGATAGGGCTGTTTCAATAATTCAATCTATCACGAAGTTGAATAAAAACGGAGAAAGAGGGCAACCCTGTCGAACACCACTTTCTGTGGTGACCTCGGGTAGGAAGTGCCGTAAGCTGGAACTTGGCTGCAGCTGCTATTGTAGATGGATTGTAATATTGAAATAAACTTCTCGGACACACCCTTTAGAGTAAGGCGGCGCCAGAGTTTAGAGCGACCGACTGAGTCGAAAGCCGCTTTCAAATCGAGGAAAACAGAGATGGTAGGTCTATGAAAGGAGTGTCCGTGTTCTAGAATTGTGCGAAAAAAAGATGTGGTCGATTCAACCTCGACCAGGTCTAAAACCAGCCGGGTTCTCAGGCTTATACTGTTCACGTGCGGCAGACAATCGACAGAGTATAACACCAGCGAGAAATTTAGAGACGATTTGATTAAACTTATTCCTCTGTGGTTTTCACAAGAGGATCAGTCATCTTTCTTGTAAGTCGGTATGCTCATCATCGACGTTTGTAGAAAAAACTCTTTTCAACATTCGTTGACCTCAAAATATACCGATGTTTTTATATCTCATTCGCCTACAGCAGTATAACTAAATTTCGTGTGTCGGAGTTAAAGTATCAATGGTCGTGGTTACAGCATTGCGGATTTTGGCTAAAGGATCGTGAGTCGAGGCTAAAGCATCGCGAGTTTTGGCTGATGGATTACAGCTAAATGACTGCCGATTTTGACTGAAGCTTGTTGGGAAAAGGTCTAAAAATGCTGAGCGAAAGACAAAATAATTTTCTAAGCAACAATAAGTGGAGTACTTTACCAACAACCTCCGCTCATGCTTCACAATGCATGCACAATCATATAAAAGAGTATATGGATTACAGATATTTGATCTAATCCCTCCCGTGTACCATATAGCCTGGTTGAGTATAAGCACCTTAGCATAAGTCTATGGGATTACTAATTCTAAGTACCATATTAAAGACCTGATAAAGTAGATCTGGAGGAAAAGGACAAAAAATATCAATCACGTACGATGTCTGCGCCGTCCGAACACACGTGACTGAAATTCACTGTCGTGATTTAACTGTGTCGATGAGTGAGACATCCAACCGGAATCTTCGTCCACGGAAGGATAGCCTGGACGAACAGCGGACTGAGTGATCGGTAATCGACGACCCGTTCGACACACTCCATTTGCAATCATGGGAATGTCGTTAAACATCGGATCTACAACACCATCATTCCAATAACATCCATCCTCAGCTTCATCCATCTCGTGCATGATAACACCAGTCGGTCCATTGGCGTACGGACTGGAAGAAGCAGCGGGTCCCCTTAGCTGATTTTTCCCACGATTATTCAATTGCTGGCGTCCCGCTCGTCCAGATATGGATTGAGGTGGTACTGAATGGAATAAATCGAACGACAGTAATTCCATCAGGCTAAACGTTGTACAGCTGTAATATTCTCAAATGTGTCAAGTTTATGACGATACTGCAAACATTTGTTTTGTTCAACGAGAATACTCTTTTACGTGTTACGCTATGTACTAAGATCAAGTGGAACAATTGGGAGGCAACAAAAACGAAATACCACAAAAAGGATTTGTGCCCCAATTTACCAATTTACATACGAATGGCAACGCGTTATTACTACATTGATAGTCCTGAACCAAAGCTACTTACTTAATTGTTTGTTGTTGAAGCCATATTTATTCGCCAGGGCGTGATTTTGTCCAAATGTAAAACCTAATACGCGCATTTGTTGATGAAAGAATTAGTTCAGAACAATTAGTTCAGTTCAACTGTTTCATATTTCTATAGCGCTCTTAAATAATACCGAGGAAATGATATCATAGATAAAACTGATTATTTGAAAACACCTAATTCCAAACAAGGTGTCGTAATAGCCTGAAATGCACAAACAATGCTTTATCCATCAAATAGGATCGGGTTCATTTAATTGACATCCACTGAAAGTGCTAATTCTAAAACGTATAGCTCAGTGGAAACTTCCACGTCTTTATTCACAAAATGTATGAATTGCTGTAGTTTTATTAAGAATGATGCGGTCTCTGAGCAAAGCAAACAAATGAAATTGATTCACTGAGGTTTTAAGCTAAATACCTCAAAATGTAAATGTATGGGGAAGTTTTCTCATTGCAGATATTCAAAAGGGTGAACACAAAACTCAACTAGTGAGGCGCTTAACTAGACTTTATACTAACTCATGCTATACAGAAGGAATTTTCAGAACAGGGTGACGGAAATATGTCTGTATGAATATGCATATACGTTTGGTTGGCATTCTACTGTGGACGAATCGTTACATTGCAAACGATACATGACAGAATAATATCATGATAACTGTTTAGGCAATACTTCCTTGGCCTAGTTATTGACTATCACCTGGAGTCTCGTCGCATTCAGTTGATAATATTAGACATTTCGTTGAGAAAATCACCCCCTTGACCAGGATCGACGTCCGTCGCAATGTAGCAAACCGTGCTATCTAGAGCAAAAGGTTTTTATTTAAAAACATGTCACGTGATGCACGGTAGATCATCTCAAAATATCACCTGAGTTTGGCGTAGCCGTTTGTCGGCGTGAAACATGACGAGTATCGATTGAATGTAGATATATATGGTAGTAAATAAATACATAGAAACTTGTTCTGTCGAAACAGTGACTACCTTTCATTTGAAGCTCATTTCGAGCCTCATTGTTTCCGATGAACAGTCCAATATAGCATTTCGAGAAAATTTAGATTTTATCGCTAATTATACTGAACTGGGTAGTTCATTAGGAAATTTAGTTCACTAGGTTTTGATTTAACCAACCAGCTGCATTTCTCGATTTAGGTCTCGTTCAAATAATCGAGGAATCAATTCTATAATCAAGTGATTTGTGGTCCCAGATAACAGCCTATGTGCGACTGACCTGCATATGCAAATCGCAACTAATGAAAATAAGAGAACGTTCAAACAGTTATAGTTAGCGCCACTTGACACTCAAGGGCAACCGGTTAGGTGACTGGTGGATCAATGCTTTTACTACTTACACATAATTTATTTATTTCATTTTACAAGCCTATCAGCATTATACGGTAGAAATTTAAACATTTAATAATGAAATAAAGAAAATTATTTCACATTAGAAACTACCCGAAACGTAGAAGCGTTCATAACTACCATGAATGATCTTTGTTTGAGTTACTATTGTTATGTAAGAGCTACACTCAGTGGAGCTTCTCGATACCTTCGCTGTTCTACTGGTTACTGTCCAGTTGTCATCAGTATCGCTTTATTGTTTAAGTCGTTTTGAAGCATCATACCGGATGAAACTGTTTAAACATTATGAAGTCAATATTTACAACTGAATTAAAAGGTTCAAGAGGAGTTTTAAGTTTCCAGCGCGGGGTCTTCAGTTCAACACATACCGTTAGGCACGTCAAAGCGGATGCTGGTTAGAAGCGAGTGCTTTGTGGGCGTTTTTGTCCCAATGGGGACGCCATTCTGAAGCACCACTTCAGCGTTGAGTAGACTCCAAACTTTCGATTCCATCTACAAAACAGATTGGAAAAGAGTAAGCGTGAGAGGAATATGCGATGCGAGTCAAACCCACAGAAATAAAGTAGTAATTGTCGTCTTCGAACCAATCGGGAGAATGACGAGATGCTTTCCTACGGCTTTATAAATATCACTAGATTAAATGTGCATCATCAGGTTGACTAAATCAAAAACGTTTTGCTGAAATAAAAACTAAGGGTAACCTTTTCGTCTTGATCCCTGCTTCATTGCTAAACATTATGCTGGATTGATTCAACCTTGTTAAGATGTCATACGTAATTGAGGAGGCCGTATTAGTTAAGATAACGCACTATTGTTAACAATTCAGTTGAGAAAAAATAATTATTGAACTAGCTACCCCCGGTTACGAAGAAAGATGCACTTCGCAGGCCAACTTTGGCATTACCATATCCTTTAATGATTGTTCATGATTACTTCCGTTTATTGAATCTACAGGTAAATAATGATTTCTTCGATTTCCCTTTGGAAATACTTCCCCATTTTGTGAACTGGACGATCCGGGCCGATTGTTATTAGCAATAAAACAATGATCATTAACTCAGATGGATGTAACACTGCTCGTAAACCGTGTTAATGTGATCTTATCTCGATAACCAGAAAAGTGGATTACTCTAATTGACAATCTACACGGAAATAGAGATAGAATCTCACATGTTTTTGTGAAAAGAAACCATGACAATAATGATAAAAGCCAGAGCAAAGCGACAGTCCGAATGATGGGAATCAATACATGTTTTAGAGGAAGTCATCGTTGGATTACAGATGAGATGGATAACCTCTTGTTGAACGAGAATAAAAACAAACAGAGAAGTGAGTGAAGCCTCATCCCGACCGGGTTAGAAGTAATCAAGCATGTGACCTATCTCAGAATATGTGAAGAAGCGTTTAGCGCGCAAAAGAAAATCCACCTTTTTGAACGTATGTAATATGAGTGTCTTCGCATCCGCAATCCAAACCCGAGGAAAAAACACAAAGAATTAGAAACACAACATGTGTGTAGCTGGTGAAGGATTTTCAGAATTCAGCGTAAGCTCGGTGTTGTATTTGAACAAATCAACAGAAATCACTTTTGGAAATGTTAAATATTACACAGATAAATCACCAAAACGTCACCGTTACTTGAAGTGGGGCCACTAATTACATCCGATTAAGAATCTCAAAACTCAATGGGCGGTTTTGCTATCACAGGTCAACTATTCTAGTTCGTTTATATTGAAATCATTTTCTATAAAAATATGTACTTTCCAAGCGATTTGAAGATAGTGAATGCAATGTTTTGGCAGAGTGGGAGTCTGACCGTTCCTATCCCAATCATTTGGACCCTTCGTCATTGAGTGAGTGAGGACTGGGGTTGAGCAAACTCGGAGTTAATTGACCTCCTTCAATAGTGCGAAGCAAACATGACAAAACGTTCGATGAACTGACCAGTTTNNNCCAGTTTTTGTAAGCAAAAGAGTGGATATGAGTCGGTGCATACGCAGATGCATTAGAGACATTCAATGATGCAGTCGACCATACGTCATTGAAGCTTTCCTGTTTTCGCAAATGGTATCACTTGTTAGGAATAGTATATTATGCTCTTTTTAATTGCGCAATGATAGTAGACGAACGTACGTTTTCGGTTATTTCCTTCTCAGGCCATTGCAATCATATTTATTTAAGAAAATACCGGGAAGGTGTTGTGTTGGGGTCAAGCAGTTGAGGTTATATAATTAGAGCCAAGAGGCGGGGTATAGACAAGCTTGTCCGTGGTGCTCTTATTCAGATAAGAAAGCATTTCGAAAGCGGTAATATTTGATTTGGGACATCACAACGTTCATGTGCAATCTTGTTCACTTTAGGGCAGGGAAGTTTGAGTGTCTGGAGAAGTACGTTTTGAGCACACAATTCCGGCTATGATTATTTGATCGCGGCCGTTTGACTTCAACACAACACTTATTTTCTTATATAAATGTGACTGTAATAGTCTGAGCGGGAATTCAAAAGAATATATGTTCGCCTACAATCTTTGTTCTGATTAGAACTTATTTCGTGATTTGTGTAATTCGGTTGTTCAGCAACTTAAATATCCACTTTCTGGAGAAACAGCCAAAAATGTTATGCCATGAATAAGTTAAAAATCAAACGCAACTACTTTTTTCAACGTGACCGTTTATTAACTTCAAAAATTATTAAATAGTATTTGAGCGAAAAGTTAAAGAATTATGGAGTAGTTTACCTCAAAGTTAGTTTAGTTATGCACACGTAGGCAGGACGTTTCTTCTTCCTCACTCATCAACAAATCCAGAATCACCTTGGATCTATTTCGATACTTTTATATGATAAATTACTTTTACCTGGTAACACAGAAAGCAATCGATTCCAAGGGAACTTTCATCGTCAAGTATCTGGCCCAACAGGTAACTTGTGACGATAAGGGGGCATCACTCAATTAAGGGGTTTCCCAAGCGAATGGAAACCGTGGACTCACATGAACTAACACTAGAGTCACTTGGAATTAACTTCCTAGTGCTATTGCTATTTGCCTGTTATAGACAATTTTTCAGTAAAATTGTGCTCATACCATATTGGCTCGATATGCTGATGGAAAGAGTAAACGGTCATACAACTGTGTGCAAAGCGACAAACAGAAAGAAAAACAATAGTGCTATAGATCGCCGGGTTTCATCACAACAATAAGAGATTTTGGTTTGGACAACTGTCCCCTGCAGAAGAATAAGCGAGAAAGATGGGGTATTACGGTGTTGAAAAACTGTAATATTGGTCCTGAATAGTATGAATTTGTTGCGGGTGACAGGGATGATATTCCGCAAGAGGGTCTCATGCTGATTACGTGAGGTGTCAACAAGAATTGCGTCACCCAAATAATCACACACAAGATGTCGATTGACTCTAAAGTCGATTTTCGCTGCAAATGAAAGAGTTCTGTATACAGAAATGCCTTCGTCAGGAACGTGTAGCAGAAACAAAATTCTGTGATTAGAGAAGATAAGGGAGGAACTGCAAGTTCATGAACATTAAATTATACTCAATGGCATCCCTATATATCGCGAGTGCCCTCGAGAAAAGTTTAATGTATGTTATGAGATCACTTGAGGTCAGCAAAAATGAACTGGTCAAGGTATCTGAATTTTAGTGACCTTGTTAAGAACATCAGGAACAGGTGACGACA